TGTGCTTAACTGTTAAACCATGATTAGGGATGGCTGATAAATAATTAAGAGGGAATTCTGAATTAATTGAATATGTGTTGTATTATTTGTGTTTCTATCTATCTATCGTAGAAATATCTGTTTGTGTTTCTGATTTGATTTGTGAATTGAAGGCCTTATCGGCATCCGATTACGAAATTGATTAGATTTATGAGGTATTTAGAATTTTTTAAATTTTTTGGTAGGTTTGATTGAAATTCGATTTGGAACGAATTAATTAGAATAAATAATGCTCATTTGATTACACTACAAGAAAAGTAAGAATTAACGGCGTTGATTTGACGGTGTTTAAAAAAACGCCTCTGTTTCTAATTTTTACGGCGTTTTTTTAAACGTCGCATTATTATTAACTAATACGACACCGTTTTAACTTCCGAAAATGCCTTCAAATGTTTTTCACTTTTTTCTTTTTTTTTTTAAAACGTAAATAGCCTATTCTATCTCTCTTTCTCTCTCGCTCTCACTATACCCTTGGTTTCACTCTCTCTTGCTTCAAACCCTTTCGTTTCTCTCGATTCAAACCCCTTCATTTATTAATCGATTAATCTGCAACCCTTCTCTTCAAGTATTCGATTCACCCATTCGTTTATTTGATTCAAGTATTCGTAGATCGTCGATTTGCAGATAATAGTGTGCCATCTCGAGTTCGTGTTCGAGTTCGCAGGTCTTTCTTCATGGTAAGTGTTGATCAGTCTCATCTTTATCTTCTCACATTCAAGTTCGATTGAAGATGATACTTACTGAAATCATTCGATTCAGGTATGCTAGGTTTTGTCTACTTTATCATTCTTAGATCAGATTGATTGAAGATCTGTTGATCGATTGAAGGTGATTTCGAAGTTCAACCTTCTTTAGCTCGGTGATTCAATCTCAGATTCATTCGGCGATTTCGAAGTTCTCTCTCGATTTCAAAGCTCAGTGATTCAATCTCAGATTCGTCAGGTGAGGAGAGTGTGCACCATCGCTTCAGAAAATCTCAAGCTCTATATCTCTCTCTCTCTCTCTCTCTCTTTCTCTCTTTCAAGTTCTTCCTTCCCATCAATTCTTTTCCTAGGGTTTTCAATCAATGAATTGAAGAATTTTAATCTCTGTTTTTTATTATTCAGTTTAGATTGATCAATCAGTGTTTTACACATCTCATTTATTTTTTCCCAGATCCCCAGAACTGATTTTTCAACTAGTGTTTTTTATTTTTCACTCTCTGTTTTTTTATTACCCTGTTTTAAACCCTAAATTACCCTGGTTCAAAATGACCTGTTAGATCTGGATACTATTAAACTAACAATATGTCTGTTTTCCAAGAATATTGTATTTTACTATTGAGCTCTTGTTGTCCTACCCAGATATTTGGCGGTGTGGGCATTGCTTGTCTGCCATTGGGACTTATCTTTTCATTCTTTTGGCGTCCAAAAGCTGTTATCACTCGTTCACAGTATATTAAGGTACCTTTTGCATTGTGCTTTATGTATCCATATGAAATTACCTACTTCTACCTTCTGTATCAATGTAATGGTTATTTGCATGTTCAAGTTGATTATAGGCAATTGACTCGATAATTTGTAGGAAGTAACTGAACTAGGTAAGAAGGCAAGAGAATTGAAAAAAGCAGCTGATGCACTTCGTCAAGAGGAAAAGAGTGGCTCAAAGGGAAGGAAGTGGCGTAAAAATGTAAAGGCAGTAGAAAAGGTATTAACATTTATTAGTATTGTTAGTTGAAGGGTGCCTTGCCATGGCTAAAAGGGAAGGTGCATGGTTTAAGTCCACCCTAAGACATAGCAAGAAAATTGGTACATCTTATAATTTGGTGTACTTCAACCCAAAGTTGGTTTTACAGATGATGTATGGTCTAAGATACAATATGTTGAATTTGAATATCGTTTTTGAGATCTGTAAAAGCTTCTTTTCTTCTGTTAAAATGTTTGCATCAGAAATTAATGTCATGAATCATGATCCAACTACAAGATTGTTTTCATTTAAGACATAACAATTGATAATTACAATTACAAGGTTTTCTGCTTTTTTTCCAATTGCTATTATATGCTTAGGGGCGTTTAGGGTTTGTAGAAATTACATCATTTTTGATGAAATTTGAAGTTTACATTGTTGGTTGACTTGTCTATGTATCCATGGTTAGATAGATTGGAAACGGGTACTGACTTATTCTTAACCTTGTAGGAGCTGCTTCTTTTGGAAGAAGATGTAAAGGCTTTAGAAGAGATGTATCCTCAAGGTGAAAAGGTGATGGTTTGAAATTTTTTTAATGTGCTGACCTGCACATTTTTTCAAAAGCAGTTTTTGAGAATATGTTTTCTGAAAAAATTTCAATAAAACTAAAAACTAATTTGATGAAAGAAATGAAAAAATAAAAAACACTCGTCATTTTTATATGGTTTTATCTTTTTTTTGGGTGTGGAAGTAATTTTTAAAAATCTGAAAATATTATTTTTGATGTTTCTTTTTGTCAAACTAATTTCTATTTGAAAAAAGAAAAAAGAAAAAGAAGAGAGATCTGATTTTGTCTCCTGACTTTGCTGCTTGATTCATTCAGGCGGAGACTACATGGGCCATGACTGTTCTTGGATACTTGGCCAAACTAGTGTTAGGGGTTTTAGGGTAAGTGCGAATTTTATGCATATCATTAATTGTGACTTTGACAAACAAAATGTTATTTTGATTTCCTTGAAAATGTCATTTTTTGGGGTCTCTGCAGAAAATTTTAGATGAAAATTGTGTTATCACACCCAAAAAAAAAAAAAAAAAAAAAAAAAAATTTAAAAACATTTCTTATGGATAACATATGGATGATGTTTAGTTTCTAGTTATTTGTTCTGGCCTTTAATTTTAAACGCAATGTATTTGGGGATAGGGAGCTTGCTTTGATGTGTATGAAGTATTATATTTCTTATGGGGATATTATTGTTGGGTAAATATAAGATGATCTACATCTCTTTCGTGTTGATTGTATTTGCTTTCTCTTTTTATTATCATATGTGTTTCTCTTGTACCTTACTTCACACTCCACTATTTGTTTGTTCTTGGCATTTAGTTTAGGTGTGAAAAGAGTCCAAATTCTCTCTTTGGAGCATGAACAATCAAGAAAAGCTCTATGTTCTAACTGTATGGAAATTCCTTGAAAGCTGAAGGACCTTGAAGGTTGAAAGACCTTAAAGAAAAACATTGAAATGCAATTTTGATGGCACCGCTAATACACATTAATAACATTGGCAAATCACCTAATTAGTTTATGGTTCTTTCTTAGATGATTTTGTTTGAACACTGTAGTTATTGAATTCTATAATGTATGCTAGTTTAATTCTAGTTATGACATGGAGATTTTGACACAGGTCTCTGATTTAAATTACAAAGTAACATTTTGTGCATACTGTTATAGGGGATTGTGCATGATAACTATGTTATTTGCTATGCTTCTAGCTAATATTAGCATCAGAACTTCATGAGATATCAGAAAGCTCTGTGGCTGTGTTGGCTGCATTTAGTCGGGGATTTGAAAACTCGATTGTAGTGTTGTTCTTATCACAAGTGTGCCAAGGCAGTTGAGTGGCTGCGCTATTGCTCAGGACTTCAACACATGCAGTTGTCATTTTCTTTTCTTCTTCCTTGCTTCCACAACCTGACTCTGTCAGCTCATATAGTAATTAGTTGAGTTGAGAGCTCCAGAGATGGCGAAATATACAGGGAAGACTCAATGTCTGAAACATTTCCAAGAGGAAATATTAGTTTGTCTTTTCCCTGGTGAGATTTTTCAAAAAGAATATTTGGAAAATTGGAGAAAAGTTAAGTTCATCTCTTTTTTTTTTCTTAACTCAATTGTGACATTGACGTAGCCGTAGGTGTAACAATTTAATGGCAACTGTTCAGCTATTTTTCAGAGTTCAAGAATGAGAGTGTGAACCCTGCTCTATTTCTATTAATTAAACAATTCATGAATTTGCAGAAATGTTAACTGACAATTGTGAACCCTGCTCTATTTCTAATGGTGCCAGTCAGCAAACCCCCATGCATCATTCTCCTTTATGGATGGTGTTTTGCTGTTTGATTATGCTGGCTCTGATATGAGAAAATATGCAAGTTTTGCTTGTTTAGTTGAAAATTCACAATGAAATAGATGAGTAAAACTCACAAGTGCCTTCAAGCAGTTCCAGTCATCTACAAGAGGTTGTCCTGCAGGTCTAACAGTTTCTAGCATCAGCAGCCTATTTTCATATTCGAACAGAAGCTTCACAATAAACATCATGGTATTACTCTGGTCATCTATTTATAGCTTTTTCTTTGGAAGACTTGGAACTACAAATTAGTTAAATAAACCCAACATGCTAGGCGACGCTTTAGAAAATCTATCAACAACAACAAAAACGTACTCCATACCTCTATTATGAACTCCACAGTTGTGTACTCCTAGGTTAATTTGGTTTTCTGCTATGTTACTCGATGTTGAGAAGGGAATCAAACTGCAGATTTTGGCTACAATGTCTTGTGACTTGAGAAGTGCAATTTGTACGACGTCCCTCATGTTCTGAATGAAATTACTAGTCTTGATATGATTGGTTGCAATTATACCAGATAGAAATCAATACTGCCACTCTTTTGTAGCTTACTTTTTCTCTTTTTCTGGCCAAGTCTCATGCATCTGTAGTACTGTACCCAGGTTATATTTCTGATTTGTAATTTGTTAGTGTTGGGTAGTGGTCCTTGCCAAATCACAACTTATGCACTGTGTCTTTTTCTAAAAAGGAAACTTTGAAAAGAATTTTGGCATGAGAGTATTGCCTAAAGAGATTATCCTTTTTTATAAAAAGAGGAATTTTGACCCTGAACTATTTAAATAGCTATTAAACTTCTTTGATTGTTCTATTCTTACTGTTATATAGGAGAAGGAACAGTCTGCTCTTCGTACACAGAGCAGCTTTGTTAGAAGCAGCAAAAGCCAGGCTAAGATTATTGAAGAAAGCGTGCCCAAGACTGTGAAGTTCTAACCCTTCATCCAAGAAGAAGCCTTAGTTAGTATACACAATGTATGTATAATTGTTTTGCACTATCCTTGAGTATTTAATTTCTTTACTTTTCGTGTTAATATTATCTATGTTAATTCCCCGCAGGATGTTTTCCCAAGTACAGCAGAGCAATTCTTTGACCTATTGTTGAATGATGACTCAAATTTTATAAATGAGTATCGTTCAGTCCGAAAGGACACTAACCTTACTGTAAGTACCAAGATTTTATGTTGATAATGTTTATTTGTCTTCTGAAATTTTATGTTTTCGATTGGTTAAATAGATTTCGCATGATGATCAATTTGAGAAGTTTTCAATCTTCAGCTTGTACTCCATTAAGATATTTGGTTTCTTCTTACTAGTCAAGCAGAGTGCAGTAGTTTCATTTTTAACATCAAAATTTAATGCCGGACATTTAACTGGAAACTCCACATATGTTGTCCTAACCTTAGTTGTGACTTTCTAGTTACTCTAGTTGGTGTTGTTCTTTTTCATTAAACTTTTGCAAGTTGATAATTTTTGCACCCCACAAAATAACTTAATAGTAAAAGTTTTGTTTCGACAACTTCACCTTTTATGCATGCCCTCTGCAACAGTCAACGATTGAAATCAGTCTTAAAGATTAGTGCATGGTTTTAAACAGTAGTATTAGAAGACGAGTCAATATCAATCGCGGTGTAGCAGTGTTGGGACTATCAAGCATTACACATCAAGAGTCGAATTATGCAGTGAATTTGTTAAAATTATCAGTAACCTCAATTTGTCAGATTTAATCAATATTTTGATATTCTAAAGTTAGAACAGAAATTTACATAAACACAGTACTCTAGTAATACAAACTTATAGCCCATGATCAACCAAGGTCAAGCCCCGCCATGAGATGTATCTGAATTATTTAAACCCTAGGGATGACTGTAATTTCTGTTTAACAAACTGCTTCTAATTAATCTAAAATATTTTGTATTTTCTTTTATGCTAATTTTAGATTGGTCCGTGGCATGATGCTGATGAATATGATGGCCAAGTCAGAGAGATAAAATTGAGGGCCCTGTGTAACAGTCCTATGTACCCTCTAGATACAGCAATGACAGAGTGGCAGCATGCTGTTTTGTCACCAGATAAGAAACAGCTGGTGCAACTACTTATTTTATGTCCTAATTCAATTAGTTTTCTGTATATGTTTTTGTAATTAATTGCTCTAGTTTTTTTTTTTTGGCTCTGAAATTAGATTGTTACTGTAACTAATGCACTGTACATCCTATATTCTCCTCCATTAGGTGTTTGAGACTGTACAACAGGCGCATGATATACCATTTGGGTCTTACTTTGAGGTATCAATATCTTGGACATCTTTGTGGCTTATTATCTTTTGTGGTTTAATAATATATTTTTCTTTCCACTGCAATATGTTTTGTTGTGGATTATTTGTCTATATTACCTGATGGCAGCCACTTTGTGTAAATTATGTCAAAGGTTAGGTTTGTACCCAATCTACCGCTCCCTTCCCAAATCCCCATCAAATGGGGACTAAATTGGGTGCATATATGTATTCTTTGAATGTGTGATATATGGGTTTTATTACTTTCTTATGCATGAAAATGAAGCACAACCCTGACTACCGGCCTTTGATATAAAGTAGGATATTTTTTTTTATATTTTGAAGCATATAATGTAAGATCTCTTCTGTGTTTTCCCTGCTCAATGGGTCTGTTAAAATTTGAGACAACAATATAAACTGCAACTTCTCTTTATTTATAAACAAAAAAAATTTAAGAAAGTAAAATAAATAAATAAATATAGGAAATTTGTTATCTTGATATCTAAAAAAGCATTGTGTTCCATATGTTATTCAACTGCTATGTCGACATTTAACATGATTAGTGCATCATCATCCCAATATTGGTTTTGAAAAACTTCTTAAAAATAAGCCCTTCTAGGCTTTAATACAACTTCTCGTCAAGTAACTGAGGCGTGAGCAACAGTTGTTTATTTATTTGCTGTTCAGTTTATTTACCATTCATTTTGAGGTGGTAGGTTTGAATTTCATTTGGTGTCATCTGTACAAATTCATTCTTCATGTTCTTTTTAATTTCAAGTTCTTCATGGTTGTGTTCTCTGAATATTATGGTGGCATGTTATCAATTGAAACAGTTACTGTTTTCAATATTTTATTTGATTCACTTTAAGCTGTGAGATTATTATGGAGCTGGGAGTTGTGATGCAAGGCCCTGTCATATTTTGTTAGCTTATTTCTTTCTCCTCTGGGCACCTCTTCACATAGATCTGGTACTACTTGAAGGTCATGGGAATTGATAAGTTAAGATCTTGACTGAAGTGATTTGAGTTATTTATTTTTACACTGAACCTGTATATTGGTTTTTTCTTTGTTACCTCTATTTAGTCAAAAGTTGGTCGATTTCGGATCATAATTTTAAGTTCAACAAAACACATACGTCTGACTCCCACACATTTGAAGTGTAGGTTCTTTGGAGGGATGAATTTCTTCTTGTTGAAAACTTTCTTAAATTAAATGTTTTCCTTCAGCTCTTTATATTTTCTCATTTTGTTGTGTTTATGGCTATGTTTGTTAGGCATCTCAAGCATCGTTGGAGTGGCTTATGAAAAAGCGAAAGGCTTTTGACCGGCGGGGTGATATGGTAGTTGCAGCTTAGGCTGAGCAGCAGCATGAAATGAATCTCCATGTGCACCGTCTTTCTCGTTCAAAGGTGTTGAATTAATTTCCATATTTCTACAATGATTCATATATTGCTATTCAACTCCATAATGGTTAATATATATATATATATATAGAGTGATAGTTGAAATTATGACATAATAGGTTGGGAAGCATTACATTTGGACATGTAGACTGGGTTAATATATATATATATATATAGAGTGATAGTAATCACTCTGTTTGATTATGTGTTCGTTTTTTGGTTTTTTTTTTTTTTGTTTTCGTTTTTGTTTTGTTTTGTTTTTTTTTCTTTCATTTTTGTGTTTTCGGAAAACAAAGGTGGATCTTTGATCTTTGATGTTTATAGCAATCGGGTGCTCCATTGGAGATGCCATTAAAGTTATGTGTATATTTATTTATTTATTTATTTTTATTTATTTTGTATGTGCATTCATGAGTGTTTCGCTAAATTCAACAACAAAAACAGCAACTTTTTATATATGTATATCGAATGTATTTCTGTTGTATTAAGTTGTGACGCAGGTAATTTTTCAGATTTTTTATTTTTATTTTTTTTTGGTCAGAAAAAACCACTCCATTTGTATTAATGGAATTTTTTTTACGAGAAATATTTTAAAAAAAATCTTGATGCTTCAGTTATTTACCTAAAATATAGTAGAATCACAAGTTGTTTCATTCACCAACTAAATTTGATTTGTTGGGTTGAAGAACTATGTTGAATCAAGAAGGGTTGACTTTTGTTAAATCTATTTTCTATAACAGCTTGAGATATGTTGCATATGATCTCTATAATTGCAATTGGTTTGATCTATTTTTGCAGGAATAGTATGTATCCTGAGTAGTTGACTCATCTCAATTGTGAACTACAACTCTTTATGAGTTCAAGGAGAGCATACAGTCTGTAATGTTTTTGTAGTGGAAGTGGATAGAACCATAGACAGACCTGTAGACACTAAGTGCTTGCATAAAGATGGGTTTTGAGCCACTGGTTTGGTATTGTTAGCCAGTGGCAAATAGGGTGTTGGCAAAGGTAGTGGAAAATGAGTTTGGAGCTTACACACCACGCGCAACAGACATTTTGGTTGTTTCCATCTCCAATTTGGTTCTTATGGGCTTGCGCTTATATCGAATATGGCTGACTACGAATAGTTTATTGCTATTTTTTAATTTTTTTATAGGTATTTTTTTAGTTCAATAACATAAAATTAGCGCAATTAAAAAAAAGAAAGAAATGGGCTATCACAGCGTTTTTAAAAACGCTGCTAAGCATACCAGCAGTTGGATACAGCGGCATTTTAAAAACGTTGCTAAATAGCATAGTGACGTCATGTTACCGTTAGAAGAACTTTTAGCGGCGTTTTCTATAGTAATATAGCGACGTTTCTAAAGCGTCATAGAGTTATAGCGACGGCCATATCTTCGACGTTTGGTGCTAAACGTCACAAAAGGATTCGACGGCGTTTTTGGGACCTATAGCGGCGTTTTTTAAACGCCTCTAAAACTCCAATTTCCAGCAGTGTTAGTTTAAGCCAAACTTAATTAAGACTCATTAATCAAGCCTATACAAGGCTCCTATATATGCCTCAACTTATCTCTTTTCTTCATTTCTTGTTACCAAACATGGGGGAGAATGAGAAGAGTGAGATTAGAGTCAATTTGGAAAAGAATTAAGCTCAAGCTAAGGTAATTGCTAGGAATTGAAGGATTGAAGTTAGAGACTCAAGAATCAAGCCTTTTGAGCCTAAATTGAAAAGCCTAGGTATGAATCCAACCTTTAAGTTATATGATTGTGACATTAAGAACATGAATTCAAGATAATTGAGTTGAGTAATGCATAATTTGAACTTACATGGTTGAAGATGAGAGTAGATCATGCATGCATGTACATTTCATGGTATTTTGAAGTTGATTTCAAGCAATTCTCCCATGCATGTCTTGTTTTTAACTTAATTATGAGACTTCACCATGTTTTCCATCAAATTACCTTGTTTGAGCATGATTTGAAAGGTTTAAGTTTGAAGAAATTACATGCACGTGTATATCATGAGTTTCAAGCTTTATTTTTGCACAATTGGCTTGCTTTTAGGCGTTGATTTTGTGAAATGATTTTGAATTCACCATGTTTTACAAGTTTGCATAAGTTTCCTTATGTTTTCGGCCCAAAAGAACATGATATACTGCTTTGAATTTAAGTTTTGAGCTTGGGAGCAAATCTGGAAATTCTAGAATTCTGCCTCACTACTCGAGCGACAGAACCTACGCTCGAGTGACCACTCTTTATTTTGCACTTCTGCTCGAGCGACCAAAAGTTGGCTTGAGCGTAAAATGCATGCTCTCAGAAGTTTATACATTTTGCAGACCGCTCTAGTAATCAGAGTTGTGCTCGAGTGAAGAACTCAGTCTCACGCTCAAGCGACCGTCAAGTGGGAAATTCACATAACTAGTATTTTTGCAGAGTTTACAGACCGCTCGAGTGAAGGAAGTTGTGCTCGAGTGACCACTCACATTTTTGAACATCCGCTCGAGCGAAAGAAGTTGCGCTCGAGCGAAGACCCTGTTTTTAGCAAATTTGATTAAGTGTTTTGAACCACATTTTGGCGTCCTCATTGCATTCTAAGCATTCTCAAGCCCTAATTAAGATACAATAGTAAGGATAAGACTTAGAAACACACTAAGAATGAAATGAAATAAGTTAAGTACTACCTAAATGTGTGTTTCAATGTGTGTATCTGTTAAGTCTGTGTAGGTCACGTGCCATAAGCTATTGCTCTGTCTATTCTGTTTGTCTACTTTTGGAGTCATCTGTGAGTAATAACTTAGTAAAGCTATATTCAACTTTATTTATTTTTTGTATGATAAAATAAGATTTGTTTTCTAAAACGTTATGTTCTGTATAATGAATGATTGTCAAATTTTTGACAAGTATTCGTGGCATCCTTAGCATATCTGTTAGCTATTACCCGGTATTGGAGGTTCCATCACGGAACTTAGTATATCTGTTATCTGTTACCCGTACTAGAGGCTCCATCATGGAGCTCAGCATATCTGTTATTTGTTACCCAGATCTGGAGGTTCCTTTATGGAACTGGTTACTTATAACCATCATCTGTTCTGTATCTGTTTTGTTAGCGCTAATGGATGTACCACGTATGATTAAGCATGAATTTTGACTTTTGTATATGATTTGAACAAGAACATGAATATGGATCTGCTTCTGTTTCTAAAATAAATATATGATATGGGACATCATTCATTTTAACCCCTTTACTCAGTTATTATTTCATTGAGCTCCAGCTTACTGTATTAAGTATTTATATAGCGATCTCGGGTTTACCCTTGTTATACAGTGATCCAGACATGTGTCCGTGGATGTTGGTAGTTGTTTATTATCTAGTTTACATCCCTTTTTACTTAGTATTTGAGTTATGGGATGTGTTCGGCAGGTTTGTTACAGGTTGGTTGAGTTTAGAAACCAAAACTAGTTGCCCAGATTTTGACCTGTCCGCTCGAGCGGGGGTTTGGGCCCTCGAGCGGGAATTTCACCCATCCAGTATTTTTCCTGTGCAGTGTTGGACGCTCGAGCGTGGGATTAGCTGCTCGAGCGGGGTTGTGTGAGTGCCGCTCGAGCGGGGAG